TTTTTTTAAAAAAATGTAACGGATAACCCAGATAAAATTGAAGAAATAATTTTTTAGTTGGGTATTTTTACTGCTAACCAATAGAAGTTTGTTGGCAAAAATATGTAATCCAGAGATATTGAAAGGTATGTCGTTTTCGATTGGTAAATTTGGGCTTACTTTTTTAAAAGAGATTGACTTTAAGTGCAATTTTCATTTTCATTTGGTAAATCTGTAAATAAATAACTCTTCAGATTAATGTATAACACTTGAGATTAATTTATAACACTCTAGATATTTTGTCAGAGCAGAAAGATCACTCTAAAATTAACAGCTGTTTTATGTGTGAACAAATAAATTGTGTTTTGATTCGATATATGTATTTTTGAAATATATAAATATCTACTAACACAACTACAAAAACTTGAGATTACTCTAAAAATGTTTGATTGACAAAATTTGACAGATCGAGAGTGAATCTAGATTGAATGCAGATTTACAAATCGAAAACGCAATTAATTTTAGAGTTTATTGGAGGCATCAAATCGATCAGACTAAAATATATTTGATAGGTAAATAATGAAATTGTTTTAGGTTCTTTAATCTATAAATAAACCGATCAAAAGTACCTAAAGGTATAAAATATATTATAAAATACTCAATGAAAAATTTTTTGAACGCTTGAGTAACTATTAAAAGCTACTACTTATTAATTATTAATACATAATTATTAAAAAAATTAAAAATCTTTTTGCACATACGAATTTATATCTAAAAATATATTGCTTGTTTCTGATCAAGTCGTTATATTTATTTATTTTTCTTATTATATATCAAAATAAATTTCAAATTTTTTATTTAATTATGAAAATCTTTAAATTTATAAGGTTTTGAGAATTTTTTGTTAAATTAAAAATTATTTAATTAAAAACACCATAGATCTGATATATTAAAATTCCTGTTAAATAAAAATATCTGCATTCTTTACCACTTCGGCGGTGTTTTAAATAAACGAGCAAAATATATTTTTCGATATAAACTGATATACTTATTTAGTATAAATAATATATTATTTTTGTTTGGATCTATAGTTAAAAACATACCATATAGATTTTTAAACGCCATTTTTAGAATTTTTTAAATTAAGTTCAAAATATTTTATATTTCTTCTTTATATTGATGTAAATTTATTCACTTAACATAAATAGAATTTAATTAATTCTGAAAGATGTGAACGTCCCGTCCCAGTCGACCCAATCCGAACTAACAACCACTTCAACTGACGACAACTACGCAACTAATTTCAAGGCAAGTCGCACCAAATCGAGTATCTCACCATCCTCAACTTCGTATTATCACAACCATAAATAACACATGCTATTTTATTATTTTGTTTTATGGAGGAAGAAATACAGTTTAAGAGAGTCAAGAGAAAGTAGCAAGAGTGTGTTAGTACCAGAGGAATGCAGAAGAAAGTGAGAGCGCGAGAGGTTTGTCTACAACAGAATATTTTTGTTTACTTTTTAATCGCGGCGTGGTCGTTCTTCTCCCCAAATATATGCGTACGAGTATCTCTAAAGCTGGTTTGTTTATATTGATAACAGGTAGTTTTCAGGTACGCGATAGAGAGCTGTTATTCAGAAGAAATCCGCGAAATACTAATTTTGCAACTGATATAATAGAGGTAGGGTAATATAGCTTATTTGTTTTTGTTCTTTTTTAAATAAATACTTTTACAAAAAATATAGTTAAGATCAAGGCCATGCAATTGCAAATGAAAAATTACGATGTTTTTTAAAATAAAACATTATCTATACTTCTAAAAGCCTATATCGAAAAGAATATAACACAGGTAAAAAGGAACCAAATTCTAACTTTTATTAAATATTTTAGTACAATGAATTATATATAATAGTAGTATAGAGTAGTAGTAGTATGTATAGAATAGGTGATCGCAAATGGCTTTCTAAATGTAAAGGGATCATTTTAGGAATCATTTAAAAATAGCACAATAGGATAAAAATGCTCGACACTTTTAAAGTGAATTATTACAGGCGGTGGAAAATGAATTAAATACCATCATCTCCAACGCAAGAGATCATGGTCAAAAGTCAGTGAGTGACTTTCTACAAACGGTTTCAAAGCCTGAGTGGGCAGCAAACAAGGCTATGTTGAGTATTTGGTTGGGTTAGAAGGAAAGTCTCTGTTACGAACTACTCTACTTTAGTGCACTATTAAATTCGGTCCTATACTGCTCACAACTCGACAGCTAGAATGAAAGAATCAAGGAAAGCGAACAGAATTGACCAACAGAAAAAGGGTTGTGTTCTATCATGACACTGCCGCGCCACACACATCTTTGATGACTTGAAACGATTTAATAGAACTTTGTTGTAAAGTCTTAATCCATCTCAATATAGCCTGGTCCTCGCACTATCTAACTACCAATTGTTTTGGTCTCTGCAATGCTCTCTAAATGATACAAATGGCCGACCGAGATAAAATTAATTGAACGAGTTTTTTGCCAATAAACCACAGAAATTCTACAAAAGTTTTATTTAAATCAATCTCTAATACAAAATATTTTTGTTCAAAAATATAGAAGAAACGGTGGAAACTTTTCATATCACCCAATAATCTTAGCATCTTGGTTTTATACTAAGTAATTTCTTTTCTGCAGAATGCTTATCTGATCATGGTCACAAGATGTAATTTTATATATTATAGCAAAGCGGCTTCCGTCCCTCAAGCCATTTCCACCCCCTGGAAATGTGCCTGACAACACTGAGGTATTAATGTTTTGTTGTTACATGAAAAGATTTTACAAGTCAAGCAGATTTTATTTAAATAATTTGTTTTATATGTAATCTTACTTTTCTTTTAACTGGTTCCGGTGATGATTCTACAACTCCATAAATCCGATTTATGTGATTCGAAATAATTACAGGATATGAATTTTTCAACAATTATAGATCCATTATTTAATCCTTATTTATAATATTAAGTGCATATCATAATCCGAATAATGCTACTGAATAGAGTCTTAGTGAAGCATATGAATCTTGTGCAAATCTGTGCTAAACATCCACTTCCAAGAGAGTCCTCTATTCAAATTCCTCTTTTAATCAGATCGTTTAGTTTGGCTAAACAGTTGTTAACATAGTCTAGATTTTCGAGTTTTGTAAATGACGAAGAAATTTATTCCCTGTTCTTTCGATTTATTGTGGCGTGAAGAATATTTAGTAATGCATATGCTGATTATTGGAATTTTTGTTGATGATTATATATTTATGATCATACATGGACTCAAAATTTTTCTATTGCCCTACTGTTATATTTATAACTTAAAGCAAACTACATTGTCAGTGACTAAATTATTGGCGACCAAATTAATCATATATATTTTTGGACGCCTAGTTGAATATTCTATATTACTCCACTCTGACTGTGTCTCTATTTTCGAATTGAACATTTTTTTTTTTTAAATCCATTTATTTTACTACAATCTGGCAGGTATGAATGACAATAACATGAATCGTAATAATAGTTATTACAATCTAAAAAAGAAAAGTACTTATGGACTATGTCCAGTTACATATCCATATATAATTAAAATAGAAGTGTATGACCTACATATATATATTTAAAACGTCTCTCGATGTTTTCTTTTTTCGCCTTGTAAAAGTGTTGAAGGGGGACATCAGATGTGTAACCAGCGGGTTTGAATGCATATATATGCGATGGGCGTAATTTTTTGTAATTCTAGATATTTCTTTCTTGATTGTCGGAACACGTAGTTATTTATGCAGCTGTTCATTCGTTACATACCAAGATGCATTTGTGATCATTCGTAGTGTTTTAGATTGAAAACGCTGGATAGTTGCTAAGTTTGAGTCTGTTGCAGTACCCCACAATTGGGCTCTATAACTCCATATAGCTTTTAGTACAGTTTTGTATATAAGCAGCTTATTGTCTAGTGACAGTTTGGAATTTCGGCTGAGGAACCAAAATAAGTTTCGCAAATTGAGACCCAAGGATTTACGCTTATTAAATATGTGTGGTTTTCAGGTTAGTTTACTTTTCAGATGTATGACCAATTATTTAGTCGAATTGAACATATTATCTTTTAATTGGTCAACAAGTCTCTCATACATTATTCAGGTAATCGAATGCCACATGACTCGCAATGGTTCCAGAAAATGCAATAGACAAATGGACGAAATGTATTGACTTTACCACGTAGCAACCATAGAAAATAATTATCTAAAATAAGTTTGTAAATATGTGTGGACATTACATTTCATAAACAATCTATGTGTTCACCCTTCAACTTAAAGCTCTCCTTTTAAATAAATAAAGTATGTTCTTATATATACTTATAATAAAATTCTGTTTTGTTCTCAACATATTTTTTTTATTTTTCAAACTACAAAATGAAGCCATTTTATGTAAACTTTACAAAAAATATTTTCAAAATTTTAAAAACAAATTACTGGAAGTGCTGTTAGTGCAACTTTGGAACAAAATTTGCGATAAATTATTTTCGTATTTCAAAAAATACAATCTTGCACTTTTAATTTTATTATTTTACATTAACATATTAAATATGTATTTTGTATATATGTACATAATATTATATGATATATGCTATTGTTGGTGTACGTATACTTTTTATAAGCGCGTCAAATAATTTGTATTTAAAGTTTGCTGTAAGTTAGTTTCATTTTCCATAGAAAATAAACGAAAAACTTAATAAAAAATAAATAAATAGAAGAAATCATTTAGATAAATTACAAATATTATACATAGATTTAGTTTTTTACGCAAGACGTAGTTTCATATATATATTAACACAATCACTATTAGAATTAAACACAATCAATATGAAACTTCTTTAAAGTTATTTGGGTTCAGTAGCTGGCCAGCAACAATTTTAGAATACTTAAAAAAAACATATTGTGGATTAAATTGTTAAATACATGAAGTAAATACAACAAAAAAATAATATTATATATATATATATATATTTTAAATTTGCGTAAATATTTAACAAATATATGTGTAGCAAACATAATTCTGGTAATTGTTATTTTAGATTCACTGAAAGGACTAAATATTTTATTAAGTTTTAGTTATCTTTTTAGATTTCTAGAATTTACAACGCAGGTCCGCCGGAGTATTCGTCAAAATCATCACAATCATCCATATAATCTGGATATGGTTCTGGACTATTTGAATTGTCGATATTTGCAGCTAGTCGACGTAAGTTATCCACTCCAAGAAGAAGTTGTCTAAAATGTAAAAATATTTTTTAATACTTTATTTAAAAAATAATCAATTTATTTTAAAATTAAATGTTAAAATTAAATATAAACACGTTTTTATATATTTTATTTAAAATAAATTAATTCAATCATAAAAAGAAATAGTTAAAACAAATTTTATATTTTATTTTATTTTAATTTTCTTTTTTTATAGTTATTCAATTTGCATATCTTATTAATAAAAAATAAAAATAGCTAACAATATTTTTTTCCGAAATCTTTAATAACTTTCGTTGTTGTTAATAATATTAACTTGCAGTTAATAATAGTTAATAATATTAGAAATCGTTTTCATTTGCAATTAAATACATTGAAATATATTTTTTTAACAAAAAATCAATTTTCGTAAAAAAAAATAAGTATAAAAAGTTTAAGCGTTTCTGAGTGCCTATTTTTTTTACAGCACCATATCATCATTATATATAAATTAAAATATGAATTTCTGATTTCTTACTTTAAATTATTTTCCGCATTAGATGCTGCCTTTAGTAATTCCTTAGAAATCTGTTGTGTTCTGGACGGTCTTTCACATTTGCCACGAGCACTAACTCCATCTGTTGTGCAGCCCCTTGTACTACAGCCACCAACTGCACCCTCTTCACGTAACTCATAATTCTCACGTCGCAATGTTTCAACTTGAGCCTATTTAATAATTTAAAAATTATTTATTACTATTTATTGCTTTTGTAATTCATGATAACTCACCGTTAACTGTGTGACTTGGTGTTTTAATTTTGTCACGTGACTTTGCGTCGCTGCTGCACGTTTATTATTATTATCCAAAATTGCTTCCACTTCCGACATGTTTTGAGATAATGTTCTGCTATAAGTTAGATCAACACGTGAGCGGTCCTGTAGCTGTCGTTCCAGATCATGACCACGACGCGTTTGTTCATTTAGCGCTATACGAGCCTCGTTCAATTCACGCTGTAATCTTTCATTTTCAATTCTAAGTCGCGAAAGTTGTGTTGTCATTGAATTATCCTCTGGTGAGCCCATTGAGTTTGATGGTAGACCGGCAGCTACGTCTGCTAAACGCTGTGAAGAGTGTATAATTGGACCATCGGATAAGAAATCAGGCAGCATTTTTGAACTACCAGCCGATTCTGTTCCTACTCCTGAGCCAATTGTACTATTTCCTTTCGGTATTCCATAGCCTGTTGCTGCATCTACATCAGATCCTCCAATCGAACCACCACCCATAGCTCCACCACCGGTTCGATCTTCAGAAAAACCGATAGGAGAATTTGGTGGGGAATTTAAGTGCATTTCGTTTGCATACCATGAATCCATCCAATGGTCTTGCACAAAATCGGGTAGAGCCGAGGCAACAGCTGTTGGAGGAAAATCACTTCCATTATTAGGTAGTGGACGTGATAGGAGGGACGTATTGGCAGCATTGTTAATGGGTAAGTCGAGTTTTAATTTGCATGAGTTTGTATTAAGCGCAAGACGATTTGGCCGATTATTATACACACCTATACGCCTTCTAGGAGATGCCGACGGCAATGGAATATCATAGGTAGACTGGGATCGTGGTACGTTTTTTCGCTCATGTTCGTCTGAGTTTGTAGTGGTTGTGTTAGATACGCCAGACTGTCCAGTTGGTTGTGTTGCAAAAATATCTTTAAGAAATTAAGCATGTTAAAGTTTTTTTATACAGATTTTATTTTATTTACCACTATTTTCACTGTTTTGAAGCGTAGTGTACGAACGAAACCCGCTGCTTCCGCAACCACCAGCTATTCTGCTGTCTAAACTACTCTCTGTTGCTTCAACCACATACTCTGCAAGACTTGCCTGCGAATCAAACGAAGAAAATCGAGGCGATCTTTTCATTTTTGTTGCAGATGAAGTTGCGTCTTGTGGATTATTCATCAAGGATGAAATTGATGTAGACGCAATAGAGGCCGATTGTGGAACTTTAGGTCGAGCACCAGTGGATGTTTGCACGGCATGTACCGAAGGTAAGGCATGTGAAGTTGAAGCAGTTACAATAACTGGATCAAGCGACGTAACTGTTGTGGAGGGCGCTGTTAGAGTATTACTACTACTTAAGAAATGTTTGAACGAAAAGGAAGAGTTTTGGGTAGGTTGTTGCACATGTGGTGGCGGTTGACTGATACTTGTACTGAACGCACTTTCATGTAATTGATCATCCCTTTTGCTTAAAGCACCTAGAATCAATAGAATTGATTAACATTTAATATAAATATAAAAAAATTGATTTTACCTTCGTCATTAAATGTGGGACCTAATGTCGCTCTTATATTTGTGCAGTCACCAAGACTAGCTGAAGGTGTAAAGGATCTTGAACTATTTTGGCAGAGATCAGCAACAAGATCAGTCAAATTTCCAAGTGTATTTACAGTTGAATTGCCATCGATTGAAGTTAATCGCGTCGTCTGAAAATCTGAATCTGTCTGGCTCTTTAACGTTCTGTTGTCTTGCGCTTCTGTGTCGTTATGTATTGCAGAACTACCAAGGCTGATATTGTTAGTTTGTTGGGTATCATCATTTTCGTTTGCCATAGTTTTTGTTTAGTTTTTTAGAACAACTTTATTTTCAATTATTTAATTCTTTTTCTTCAGTTCGCTGTCAAATCCCTTTTGTTTTGCTGTAAATCCCTTGAAATTTCAAATAATATTTTCTCTACTAATATTAATAAGTAAAGTTTATATTGCAATCACAGTCTGTCTGTTTACTTATACAATAAAAATAATTTCATTACATTTATACGCTTAAAAATACTTTTATTTCTGATTTCGGTTCTCACAAAGACTCACGGCGAATTTTTCTTTACATTTTTTTGTTTCTTTTGTTTGACAGATTGTCAATTGCTGCTTTTGCATTACAAAATGCACAAACCAGTTCACTCTGGCATGGTGATGCCACCCCATTCAGATTCGCCTGTAGTTTCAAACTGATTTTGAATAAATTTCTCATTTTGGTTTTGTTTCGTTAAGTTAAAGGAACTAAAAATTATAAATTTAGTTTATAATTAATCACAAATAAGTTTAATATCATTTCAAAAGTTTTGATTGTACAAGACACAAAAATAAATTATTGTGATATACTCACCCTGTATTCTCTTTTTCATCATATGGGAAGGAAGCATAAAATTAGGAATAATAGTAGAGGAAATAATATTGTTATTCAAGAAAATGTTATCAATTACTCCACCAGTTGAGGAATTGGTTCCTAGTCACAAAATTAGGTGTGCACAGCTTAACTGTGGAGCTGTTTTTACAAATGCAGGAAATTACGAATTGCATATGCTAAAGAAACACAACGTTACTCTAGTGAAACCAAATCAATCAAACTTATTTTATTGCCCCGAAGCAAACTGTGCTTACAATGTTAAGAACAACAGCAAGCACTTTAAAAATCTCAAATATCTACGTCAACATTACCAAAAAGTACACATGTCTAAGGTTTACATTTGTCCAGATTGTGAGAAAGGTTTTTCCACTGCTAGTCGGCTAAAAGCCCACACTCAGAAGGAGTGTGGAATACTATTCGTTTGCAGTGACTGTGGAACGACATACGCTACCAACGAAGCGCTACTTACACACATCAAGCGAAAGGGACATTCCGCAAATAAAGTCTCAAAGTTGGCCACGACCAAAACCAAATTTCAAAATAAAGTTTTGAATGCAAAGAATAAAGGAAAAAACAACAATAAAATGTCAACAAAAGAACAAGAAACCCAAACTGAAGGTTTGTTGCTTTTAATTTGGTTAAGTTTAGTACAGTTTAAATGTTTTTATATAATTTTTCAGATACACAAACTACTAAAGCTTCACAGATAGGTAGTTCCCAAACAGAGACTTTTTGCATTAACTCTGAGGCTTCAATATCAAACGATCTAAATATTATACAATCTATACTACGTGATATAGAAACACAAACTGACGCTTCCGAGAAATCAGATATGGATAAAATGCTTGCCCAATCCTCCCATACACACACACAAACTTGCGAGGATATATTTTTAGATATATGCATGGCAGATATGAAAAAGCAACCAAATTGGTTGGCACTACCAATGAATAATGATAAAAATCCTTATGTTTCAACGGCAACTTCTCCAACCGCATATATTCCAGACGAATTGTTTGTTTCAACCGAAACACAAACCAGTTTTACACAATGCTTGATGGATTCTAGAGCTAATGGAGCCGAAAACACATTCGGCAGTCTTTGTAATACGCAGTACACACAGACTTGTGATACTTTGTTGGATGGTTTATTTGGAGTACAGGATAACGATTTGATTGCTAATTTTACGTCAGCTTATACGCAAACATGATGGTTTGATTCAAATATACATTTTAATGAAAATTATAGAAAGGTAAAAGACAAAAACTGTTGATGAGTAAATCTAAAGCATAACCAGAAATGGTAGATAACACATAGTATGTAGATTCTATGTATCATCTCTGAAAATGGTGTAGTTTTATGTAAATATGTATAATTAATTTGTTGCTGTATTATAAAATTAATGAAATAACTAATTTAGGTGATAATTAACAAAAATAAATAAATACATGTGATATATCAATATGAATTTCATTCAAGAAATGTGATTTGATTGTGGCATTTATGTAGAGTTTCAGATATACTAACGATATAATTACGGTTCAAATTAAACACATGAGTTTATGTTAACGATTGATTAAGGATTAATCATAAAATTGTTTTATATATCCTTCATAGAAATAAGTCTTAAGAAAAAATACAAATTTCATTATATCCGTATTTCTCGACTCCATACATATTTAAGTATTTGTAATTTTACAACTTTAACAAGTTAGCACTAACTTTTTAAATTTAATACTTTAATTTTATTAGTTATATTTTACAACTATTGTGTTTTATATTCATATTTAATTAAATCATTATCTCAACACATATAATGTACGACATTATCATCTGAGTCTAATGGAATTTGAATATTCCTTCCAAAATCGATTTCTACCTACATCGATATTTTTTTTTTGTAATATAAGTTCTTCAATAATATTATATAAAATACTTCAAGCAGATTAAGTATGTACATAAAATAGTATAAAAATGTATTAAGATCGTTAAAAGTTAAAATAGAACTAAAAATGTCAAAAATTTGCACTACAAAAGCAGAAGTTAATTTAAGCAAATATATATTTTTTCCTGGGATGTACGGAAAGCCACAGTGTGAAACTTGAACCTACTAAAACCACGTTAGGAGTGCAAAATAGACAAATTTTAGCCATTGGACCCTAAAGGTCAAAAGCTGGAACCCAATTTCAGTTACCAAGGGAAAGCCAGATATTAGAATATAGAAGGCTTAATATTTGGCAACAAATATCTAAGCCAAAATTGTAAACAATTAAGATAAAGAAGTAAAAATAAATATGCTATATAGTAATTACTGACTAAGAGTAAACTTTGTGCAAAGGGTGATTGTAACAACGATTATAGAGCGGGATTACAGGAGAGACGTCACGGTGTCGTTTAGATAAACGGCCTAGAATTGAGGAGGCTATACCTCATATTATCAAGCAGATCGATGTGAGTGAGCTGGGTGTACAATAGCAGAGGGAAAGTTGGTAAATATTTACTTCTTATTTTATGAATAATTACTTATATTGTATTTATTTATTCGAACTATAAAATTTTGTTGCAAAAAAATTATTGTATGTTAAATAGTTTTTTTTTTCATTACCAATAAATCAGATAAATATTACTGATATTTTACCTAGAATTGAAAAAATTATTAGATGTGATGCCTCGGTAATTCGTCAACTTAGTTACATTGTAATTTGACATAAATAAATACACATACAATTTTACCGAGTTATCAAGCATCTCTGTACCTATATCTCAAATACACAATATTCGGTAGCATCGTAGAATAATATACACCTGAACGTACTCTCCAAATTTAGTGAAGACATTGATCCTCTTATTTTGTTCAAGCATCACAAATTTTAAATTAAATTTAAATTTTATGTTACATTTAACAATAATAATGATCAGCTGATGTTTTACTGAATACCGTAAAATATGTCAGACTAATTGTTTCGGTAGCGCCGTAATTTCATAAAAACAAATAAAATAATATATAATAGTATAGTAATAATAAAATAAAATAATAAATATAAAATAATAATAAATAATAATAACATAATATAAAATAAAATTTTACGATATTTTCGAGTTATGACGTTACCGATGAAGTACGAATTATCTATTATATTGCAAAACATATAAATTCTTTATTATGAATATGAATAATGAATATATTAAAAAACCAATAAATATGAAATTTTACGATATTGTCCAGTTAAAACGTCATACTACGTTTATATTGTAAGATTAAGAGAACGACATTAATACTACGTTAACGTTGTGAGATTAAGAGAATGAGATTAAGTTAATCTGCATTTTTAATCTCCACTGTTTACATTATTCATTAGAGATTAATTTTGATTTTTTTCTTGTTGTGTTTTGTACAAAAAATTGTGATAAAAATTTAATAAATAGTTTTATAACAATTATTTAACAAATTTTAGTTATAATTACGCACAAAACTTTTATTAAATAAATTTATTAAAAATTTCACTCACTTCGGCATTTTCAAATTTTCAATATTGGTTTTGACATTTCTTTTCCAATTCTTCTAAAGTCGTAAAAAAATCTACGATATTAAGACATTTGCAGAGTTGCACAGAAAAATAGTCACCATTCATAAGGAGATTAAAACTTAATATACTTAATATAAGCATAGTATTACTGATGAAGTAAGAATGCATTTATTATATTTCAATGTATTTATCTATTACTTATTCCAAATTATTAACTACTTACTGACTCTGCCTTTTTACAAATTATATTACTATTTTATGTAGAAGTTAGAAATAAAGATATGCATGTTTTATATATATTTTATATATATAATTTTACCGAGTTGTGATGTTACCGACTACATATGAATACATCTAATATATTGCAATATACCATATATATTTATTATTTGTATATATAATAAATATATTTATTTATCTGTTATATATAATATGTGATATAATTGTAACATTATTAATAAATTGGCTCATTTAGGGCGAAAAATATCGAATATAACCCTTAAAAATAAATTTAATGTAAATTACCAAAATTTGAAAATCGTGTCACATATTTTATACATAAAATGTAAACTAACAACAGCTGATTTGTAAACAATATCACTGAGGAAATAGCTATTTAATAAAATATATATATATTTTTGTTTTTATTAAATGAATGTGTAATTGATATATAAAATGTATATAAATGATTGATTTATATATTTAATCTTGTGTGATATTTTATCAAGTTTATATAAGTTATTTTGTGATATGAACGTTCACTCATTAATATAAATGAGCAAGTGCCTAAATGAGACAGTGTGAATGTACTTTAAATTTGTTACTATTATAGGTTGTTCAATTTAAAAACAAATAATAGGAAACATTGTGTATTTCCATATATCCTGGTTTTAACAAGAAATTTTATTTTTTTATTGTTACTGAGCTTAGGTCGATAATTTAACACATAAAAATTAAAAAAGTTTTTTTTTTAAATAAAAAAATTACACTTTCAAATTTATATTAAAAATTTCATTGTATTTTAATTTTTATAAAAAATTATTAATATTACAGATAATAATACAATAATAATTGTACACTAAATATGGTCTACGAAGTAAAAGAAATAGCTGTTATATAAATTTTTTATTAAAATTATTAAGTATAATTTTTTATTTAAAAAAAATTTTATTTTTTAAGTGCTACGTTAACAACCTAAGTCCAGTAATAATAAAAAAAACGTGTTGAATATTGTCTAATAACAATTTATTTAATTAATTATTTAATAAAATAAATTTTATATATAATATTTTAAATATAACATTTTTATAAATTTTGTACTTAAACAGAAATCTGCTACATTTTCAACAACGAATGGGAAGGCGTAAACAAAAGCGATATCGTGAATGAAAACAACAAAAGCGATAAAGAAGCAAGAAAAGGAATTTAAGTAAATAAATTATGGCACAGAAAATTGTGAAAAAGAGACTTGCGCGTAAGATTTTTGCTTTTAGCACTTGAAAAATAATAGGAAAAACAAACCAACCACTTCCATTACTTCTTCGCCACCATGAAGGGGGAGGAATTAACAATTACTGCGACGAAAGAAAATCTGGGTAGCAAACCGGTCGAAAGCGTCTAAGGTCGGCAGGATTTTATTATCAATTCTACACTCCAAAAAAATTTAATAGTGAAAACATAAATTATAAATAAAATAAAGAGAAAAAAGTGAAAATTTCTGACGAATTTAATTAGAAATAAAAATGTACAAAGTAAATAATTAAAAACAAAATAGAAATGTGAAAACGACAGCAAAAAATATTGAAAGCTGACAATACGGAAAATACTCGTATTTTGTATGTGCTAAACGGGCGCGGCAGGTGAGGAGTGTGTACACATATATTGAAACGTATTTTGTTAACTTAATGAAAATTTCTTTTTGTTTTATTAATAATGACATAAAATTGAATTTTTGTGTATGGAACACAATAAAAACACGATTTCGATTCCACAGCGAAGAAGCAGCATTTACGCAGCGCGATTGCGATTTGTTAGAGAATATGTGGAGCGCTTGCATATACCAACGAACTGGAGCGCGTTAAGTGGATTTGAATAGCGCTGCTAATAAGACATAAAAACTAATTAAGGACAACAGCTCTGCAACGCACACTTGCCCACTAAGTTAGCGCAGAAAGAAGCGTATCTGAAGAACGGTCACTACGTGCACAGCCAATTTTTGCACAGCCTCGGTTCCTTAATTTTAGGTAATTATTAATTAAAGAGGAAAAATTAAAGACTCTTCGTGATACCATGTATTCAAGTGTATTAAAAGCAAATATACATAAAATTGTGTTTTGTATATAAAGATTGGGTGTTACCCATATGTTAGAGAAATGTTCTGATATCGGAGAAGGAACTCCTTTAATGTCAATATTTACAAAATTCTAATAATTCTAATATTTATTTAATATGTTTATCTCTGCACCAAACCCATAAATAGTTAACGAATGAACTTAATTTTAAGATACTTTTGCGTTTAGTTGTAGTTCAACTACCATAAAAATAAACAAAAAATTATCATTTAAAATATCGAATTAAATAAAATAATAATTTTTCTTATATTTTCCATTTTAGATTACAAATATTTTTAAATGAAATTTTCAAACTTCGAAGTAACGAGGGATTTTAAAACACTTTATGTTGCCAATGTCGAATAACGACATAAATAACGCCAGTAACGGCCGAAACAGTGCCAATTCAACGTCAATTAGTCATAAAAAGGATATTAAAGCCACAAAGCCACCATTGCCAGAAAAGCCAGCAGCGTCATTGATTGCTTCAAAATGCAACAACAACGATAGTAGGAATAAGATCATATCAGCACACCGGCGTGATAACTCCAATAGTAGTGTGAAACCTCACCCGGATAAAGGTGAAAATCGAAGCACACAATACATAAAAACACAGACTTACTTTAAGCAAATACGTGAAGGTGCGTCAGCTGAACAGTGTCGGCCAGATGATGTAGAGCTGCATACTGTGGTGTACAGCGATGGCCACTTAACATCGGGCACGCTTGAAGCACTTATTGAACACATGGTGCCTACGAGTGAATACTATCCTGAACGTACATATATATTTTCCTTTTTATTAAGTGCAAGATTATTTATACGACCACATGAATTACTCTCTCGAATATCACAAACTTGGGATCAGCAGCAACAGAAAATCAGCAATGATGTAGTGGATGAAGCAAACTTTAGTCATTTGATGATGGCTGCATCGGTCTCACCGCTAATGCAGCGTAAAGCATCGGTGAATGAAGTAATTGCAGCTACGACTATAACTGAGGCAGCTCAAAAAGCCCAACGTACCGGTACACAAAAATCTGCTCAACATTGCATACGATTATTATCCGAATGGATTGAAACGTTTCCATATGATTTTCGGGATGAGCGACTTATGCAGCAAGTGCGCATACTAGCACGCAAATGTGTTTACATAGATAATGCGTTGGGTAAACAAGTCTCGCGTATTCTGCAGTTGCTAGTTCAACGTTTAACAGCCTTGGAGAAGTATGAAGAATTCCTACAGTCGCTGGTTGCTACCGATCTCAATGCTAGTCAACATTATAGCACATCAGCAGCGGCCGCTTATGCAGCAACTAATGCCACAAATAATTCATTGGGAAAGAGCACTGCTGCAGGAGCAAATAACGCTGATAATCATAAAACGATGCAGCCGTCAATGAGTGTAGCAACAAATTCGAATACTGCAATTCCAATTGATGGTCAAACTCACGAAGTATATGGTCTCATGGATCTATGTCCCAGTTGTGCGCAACTGGCACATCAGTTGACTGCAATTGAATTGGAGCGACTTTCGCATATTGGTCCTGAGGAATTTGTACAGGCTTTTGCAAAGGAATATCAACACACAATTGAAAACAAACCAGGCGCAGGCTCGAATGCCATGAGCACTTCCTTAAACGATATGAAAAAAACAAGAAATCTCGAATCATATGTGGAGTGGTTTAACCGCTTAAGTTACCTTACAGCATCGGAAATAGTCAAGGTGAGGTTTTTTATATTAAATCTAATGAACTCTCTCGACTGAAGCGTTATTATCGTAAAATTATGCGTTAGTCGTTATTCTTTATTAGATTTTAAGAACAAATGGTTGTCTCTATTTATGTGCCCTGAATGCACTTAAATGTTTTAATTTAATTTTTTGTTTCTGAATTTAATTTGTTTAAAAATATGAAATATATGAATGATGTTAAACAACCAAATACTTTGAGATACATTATATATGTAGGTTAGTTCATACCGGCAGATTCCAAGGGAATCAGTTAGAACCTTTCAAGGGTTAGAATCAGTTAGAACCTTTGGTAAAGCTTATAATGCTGTTCAGAGGAAGGTCTTGTAGTTCGCCAAGATCCTCAAAAAAAGAAAGACCCTAAAGTGATAACGCGGCGCCACGTGTGCTGGACAGAAGCAAAACAGATTAGAGGCATTTTCATCGTACTCTCCACAATTGCGGCAGGTATGATTGAAAGACAAATTTAATCTTCTAGCGTGGTTACCTAAACAATATATGTATAATAACTTAGAATATTTTGCCCTTCCATTTGGTGTTTTTTTCAATTGCTGTATTTATGTTATTGCGGATATATATCGTTGGGGAACTCTATTGATAATTGACCAGAAATAGCTTTACTTGTAGCCTTTTATAGCTAGTTGATTTAATGGCGGGAAAACTTTATCCTTTCTCCAAATAGCACCTAAGTACTGTTTTGATACCACATATCTGAGTGAAAATCTGAGTTTTATAATCAACCCGTGCAGTTGATATAGAGTCAATTTTTTGAAGTGTTTTGCTTGGGATGTCCTCTATGCATAGACTTTTTAGGAGAATATCTTAATTTTACCAGGTCTTAGCATTTGCAGATAATGCTCAGTTGTTTCTTTTTCCTCTTTCTTACACCCTATATATATGATAATCAAATACCTGTAATATATTATGATCAAAATACTAAAAAAGATCTATATTCGAAACAATATATATTGTTTGCGTCATTTGTTTCAAGAATTGCAAAATGCTCATCATAAGTAATCTCTTTAGAAATATTTCTTATATTTAATTATAATTTATAATTTTAAAATATAATTTATATTCGTAAATAATTTAACAAAAAAATCTAACTTAATTAATTATAATTAACTCTTTGTTCACTGAATTAAGTATCAATATTGTCTAATAAGTATTGTCTAATGTCATCTATAATTTTCTGTTTTTATTTCGTAGTATCCGAAAAAGAAGCAACGTGTACGGGTTATCGAATACTGGATCGAAACTGCGCGCGAATGTTTCAACATTGGAAATTTTAATAGTTTGATGGCGATAATAGCTGGTCTAAATTTAGCGCCAATATCAAGACTTAAGAAGACGGTCAGTTTACATTAATTCCATTTTTAAAAATGATTTATTATAATTTCGTTTACTATTTTAGTGGTCGAAAGTGCAATCAGCGAAATTCTCCGTGTTGGAACATCAAATGGATCCTACATCGAATTTTAATAGCTATCGTTCAACACTGAAGGCAGCCATGTGGCGTTCGGAAGGCGCCACTGAAGAACGCGAGCGCATAATCATTCCGTTTTTTAGTTTATTTGTTAAGGATTTATACTTCTTAAATGAAGGATGCTCCAATAGGTAAATTATATATCCTCAATTAAAACTAAAACTAAAACTAAATACGAGCTGTTTGATTAATTGTAGATTGCCAAATAATCATATCAATTTTGAAAAATGCTCACAACTTGCGAAACAAGTAATGGAATTCAATGAATGGAAGAAAGTCAACTGTCCTTTTGAAAAGCTACCGAATGTCATAACATTTCTGCAGACTAGTCCCGTGCTTAACGAGAATACACTATCAATAGCATCGTTCGAATGTGAGCCACCTGAAAACACAGAGGAGAAAGGACGCTATAAAACTGTGAAGGCCGAAACGAAGCAACAATTGCTGCAGCAATTGCAGGAACAGCAACAGCTATAAAAACTACACTTTAGATTTAAAAATTTTTTTCTTGAAGAAAAAAACTTGCCATTTTTTTTTTTTATAACTTTATATATATTTTTAAGCATTTATTCAATGATTTTAAAGCGAATATTTTGTTTTAGCTTATAAGAAATTTTATAAATGGCTTTTAAAGCCATAACAGTTCAATTGGATCAGAAAAAGAAATGTTCATAAAAATAGTGGCTCCTTGGCGGAGCTTCAGTTATCGTTGCCAGTAATTGTACTTAATGCATTTAGTAATAACTTATTTTAAGCAACTTATGTAATCTCATTATTAACAGTAATTTCATTTAATGTTAGCACTAATCTAAGTTGGCTTCTTTATAATTTTATTACGAATATTGCGAATAATGAACTCGTTTTCATTTAAAACTTTTATTTTTTATTTTTATACTCAAAACTTATTTTTGTATATTTATTAATTGTAATGTATGTGTGTGCGTTTTAACATAAGTTGACAGTATTTAAATTGATATTTATACGTTAGATAAATTAAATCTTATATACAAAACCTTATAATTAGCATCTAACATACTTTAAGCAACAACCAGAACAACAACAAATATTAACAAACACAAATTTCTTGTGGTAGCTATAATGATGCTTTTCTTCTAGGATTCTTAAGCTAAATTTTTTAATAATAAAAAATCATATAAAAAATTATATACAAAAAAAAATAGTTTTAAAATTCATCGAAAAACATCTAACAAAATTTTTTTTTTGTTTTAATAAACTATTATTGTTTTCAGTTTTAGCCAAACAGTTTATAAGCATTTATTCAGACATTTTATCTATCTCTCCACCGCTATAACCGCTAATTTAGCCTCAGCAATTAAGAAGAGAATAGATAATAATGATGCAGCGAAAAATATGTTAAAATCGGCCATTGGAAGAAGGCATAGAGGTAGACCGTGCCTCCGGTTGTGTGATCAAGTTGGAGCAACACTAATCGTGTGTGATAGAGAAAACTGTTGTGTCGCGTAGAAATCCGTTGACCACAGCATTTCAATTATTACTTTTATTTTTTATACAAAATGTGTACAAAAATTATTTTAATAAATTATTAGACAAAATTTGTTTATTTCATATTAACTTTAAATTATCTATTCCCCAAAGGGCATGTATTTTCATTTACTTAAAAATTATTTAATTCAGAAAATATATTCTTATTTATTGCAATAAGTCGAACTAAGAGATGTCCATGCCGGTATAACTACTATTAGATCTATGTGTGACGTCAACTATCCTGATAGCACGATGCGTATATACTTAAAACACAGACATAGTTTAGCTGTGTCTAAAAACATAGCCTGTTTTTAAGTTTTACTAACATTTGGGCTAAAAATAATTCACAAACGTTTAAGGGCTTTGTCTTCAAGCTTTAAACAATCCTTTTTAGTCATTTTTGTGAATTTAGAAAGTCCATGAGAAGCTCTGTCTTTAAGATAGTGCAACCGAGCAGATTTAAAACATTTTTTTAAGTGTAAAACTGTTTTAGTCGGAATTGAAAGTGATCTTGCATCATAAAAATGTTGAAAATCTATTTCAAAACACACAACTCTTAATCAATAATTACTACCTCGCATATATATAAACACCCTTCCATCTTTCTCTCATTTATTTCCAACTTTGGTTTAGATATATTTGCTGTGTGAATACTAAGCCTGCTGTGTTTTCTTTGATTACTGGAATGGGGTTTCAGATTTTACCTTTACAGTCCAAGGGCTGAAATATGTCTTTTTGCATTCTTAAGAGGTGGTTTCAGTGGGTTCAAGTCTCATCTATCGCATTCGATACTTTCCTCTAACCAGACTCTTGCATATACCTAGAATGACAAGATTAAATATGTTTAAACAGGTTATTTTATATCGATTTAAATTCTTCTTAAATTGTCAAAACAAGATCTTCGATTTTTTAAAGGAACATCATTAAACTATATAATTACAAAAACAATCATCACTATTGATATTAAAACGTCAGGATATTTTACTCATGTAGATGGTAGAAGGACGAGATACTAAAAACCATATCTGTCTCGTCATATTATATATAATTAAATATATCTGATTTTTAAGGCCATAAATCACAACTTAAATTTTTCTTTTTTTTATTAAATTACAATTCTTAACATATAATTTTAAATTTTTATGACAACTATTAAACTTATAAGTTAGAGACTGAGGAGGGAAATTGTTAAGAACGGATTTGTTTTATAGAAGGGTAATGAATTTTCCAAATTATTGAAGGAAATATTCGTTTGAAAATGTTAAAATAATACTTAGAAAAGTTTCGTACCTTTCAGTCTTCCCAAAAGGGTTCAAAAATTAATATCACATTTTGCAAAATTGACAAGTCATGTCATACAGTGACTATCATTGTGAGATTAAGTAGTTATCCCCAAAGTACGTCTATTCACAAATCTAATATATGCATTAAAGACACGACTCGTTTTATTTAAATGATGTGTTTGTTTCCTGAACTGATTAAGCCGCTACGGTGGATTTTTAAATTCAAAGAAACGAACAATGTTTCTACACCAAAATTTACAGAGTCTCAAATTATTGAACAAAGTTAATAAATTTCGATTAAAAGTTGAAATTCATTTTTATATATTTTTTCAATGTTTTCGAAATGATGTGAAAAAATCAGAAAGAACACATAGTCCCAATTATAATGAAATTAGTTAGTAGATTCTGTTATCACAGGGTCTTTGCAAAACTCTATATAAACACTTAGAAACACTAGTAAATGAGTGCTGGTTAACTACCACGACCTAACCATAAGTGGTGAGACTAATAAAATGTGGTTCTAATGGCAAAATAAAAATAGATAATAAAGTTGTTTTCATGACAAAAGCAGATTCGGCGACTGCGTGCACTAACATAGCGCCTCGATAGCTTAATAGTATGCTAACTCCTTGAATTAAAGAAACTTGCCAATTAAAATATAAATTTTAATTTAATTTTTAATTTCATTTACTCATCCACTGTTTACTAAAACGGGATTCTCAGCATTCGCTCTCTCTCTCTCTCTCTCTCTCTCTCTGGTATCTATATCTAAAACATTCTTTAGATATGATTTTAGTGAGTTTTACATCTTAATCAAAGCTTTTAATGCTTTTTGTTGATTAATATATATTGTATAAATAAATTATTCAGTTCAGGTTACACTCGATTTAATTACAAACTTTGGTCTCAAAATATTCACAACACACAAAACATTGTGTTTAGTTTACTTATTATTTATGTATTATTTAAAGACTTTTATCGTAAAATTTTAAAATAAAAAACTGTTTATATTCAATAGCATTTATTTTTTTTAAATATATATAATAGATCTGTTCTACGGCCTAATATAAGTTGAAGTTTTATTTCATCAGAACGGGGCGATTTTTATTTTAAAAGTTTGCGATAACAGATTATAAATAATTAATAAATAAATTATTTCAGATTCTTTATATTAAGCGTCGAGCATATATTTATATATATTAATAATTCCTTTTATGTGTTAGGTACACTTAATATGACTATAATTTATATGACATTACAATATCCAATATTAATTTTAAACATTTGTTTTCCCGGGCTTAATTCTTCAGAGTATTACTTTATTTCAAGTAATCTTTGCATGCCTAAGCCTGAATGAATTTACAATATTTACAATTTATTTAAAAATAGAAAGTATATATATGCCATATTATTGGTGTATTCCCAGTGTTCGGAGATAAAGCAGTTTTATCAGAAGAAGAAGTTAAAGTTTTATTAAATGGTAGCAATATTATTAATATGTAGAAATTTAGAAAAAGTATTTATTTTACAGAAGATTAATTATAATTTTGCTTTTTAAACAATTAGTTAATGGTTAAATAATAGACTTTTTAAAAAAAGTCTTTTAAAAGACTAATATTTTTATTTGAACTAATATTTTGACTATATTTTATAGTCATCTTCAGCGTTCTATCAATAGATATCTATAGAATATAATCGTAATATTGATTCAAATGAAATCTTTTAAACAACAAAAAAAATTTTTAAAAAGTGTATTATTTAAATATTGACCAATTAGCCCGTTTAAAAAATAAAATTATTATTAAAAATATTTGGCTATTAAAACAATAAATTATGGGAAGATTTATTATTGAAAAATTTATATGAATATTAATTTTAATAATAAATTTACACTTTGATACACAACAAATATGTTATTTACAATTTAGATTTTAGCTAAAATTCTATAATTTTTGTAAGTGTTGTATGCATTTTTTTGAATCAATAATAAATAATAATAATATTCAGTGAGAAGGGTGGGACTCTGCAGAAACCCCTCAGCTAGCAAAGAGTAAAAATGCCCAGATGCACTAACTTTGAAAAGACTCGACATAAACAACATGAATTAAAAAGAAATTTCATTTCAGTTTTATTTAGTTTTTGAACTGTTGATTTTTCATAATATACTATTACAAATTAATTAATTTTCCGCTTTATAAAAATTTAATACTATGTTCAGACACACCTTCATTTCCCAAAAATCTTAATATCATTTTCATTTAAGCAAAACTAAAGTGATTTTTCCATACAAAATTCAGTTTTAATTTTAGAACGAAATTAAAGAAAATGGCTTTAATTGCGTTGAAACAAAGACAGAAATTAAGAGTTATTTCAAATGCAACTATGCGTAAGATAGATTTTAAAGCAAAAGATAAAGTTGAAATAACGAAAAATTTACTTTTTGAAATAAATGTCAGTGACAGTTGACTTAAATAAAACCGCGAAAATATTTTAAAAGTAGTGCAAATTTTTAAATTTGAATATAGAGAAAAAACTGTAACTGTTATTAGTTTAAAATAGAGTGAAAAATAATAATTCACATACCTGAAGCTAATAAAACTACTGAATGCCATCCTTTATAGTTATAATAATCAATTTTTAAAATTTCCCAGATACAAATGATGTTTTGAGCATGCAATTTTTAACATTCGATTTGTAAACAATTAACATATGCTTTCCTTAATTTGGGACAGAATGCTTTCAAAATTAACTTAATTTTATTTTTACAAAATTAAGTAAATATGGCTGTTACTTTTTTTGTGGCGAATATCTGAGAGCAATCCTTTAATATGCACAATATTTGTGTAAATAATTAAAATAATCTCCGTTTTACAACACTGCTTGCAATTTAGGACTAATCTATTACGTCAAATGAAAATGTAAATAAAAACAATAACAAGGAGAAAGTCGAGAAAGAAAATTCTGTTGAGAGCAGACGTTTTGAAGACTTTGTGGAGAACGGTTGGGCGTCGGAAAAACACAAGTGACAACATCATGACATCCTAGTTAATTAAAATTCTAGTAAGAATTTTACACAAAGTGCATAGGAAATTATATTTTATACAAAATACTTTTGCAATTAACTGTTTAAAAAATCAATTAATCAAAACATTGCATGGAAAGCAGTGAAGTGTATAAATTACGAGAATTTTGTTTTGATGCAGTATTCGCATTTCGTCACAACAAGAACAGTTGCATTTTCGAAAATTGTTTGTTTGAATCTGCAATTGCAAGAATAAAGTGAAAGTGCATCTTTGTGAAAGGTATTTGTGTGCATTTAATCGTTCAAGTGGATTTGCAGTCAACCGAAAATCTTAGCGTAGTTTTTCTGTTAAGTGTGTTTCGCCTACCCTGGGTGGGAAGATCAAACGGCAGAAACACATCAGCCGAGCTGCCGGTATGCGACGTTTCCACGTCCTTGGCTGGCGAAAACAATGCGCATTTATGGCACATGAGCGGCAATGCGCTAATTTCTTCTGAATTATCGAAAATTCGAAAAAAATCATAAGCTCCGTTGCCGTTAAATCAAGAAAACACTCGCTTTGAAAATATTAAACAATTAAACAATAAAATTGTGAAATAAAATACCTGTTGTTGGTTTGTGCGACGGCGGGTACAAAAGAATGTTTTCGCACTTCGCGCAATGAAAATGTGAAAAAGAAACAAAGCGAAAAATCGATTGCTCCCATTTTAATTTCATGTGCTTTTGTTGTTTTTGTTGAATTTGTTGACACATTTTAACACTCGGCCGCACTGCCCTCGCAGCGACTGTAATCAACAGTGCAGCTTGCATTGCTGAACATTAATTGAAAGCCCTGCACGGCCGAAAGCAAAGAACTCAAATTAATAGTGCCAATCCGACTGGACACAGTGCCATTTGATATGTCTCACGTATGAGTCATCGCGTAGACAAAACGAACCCTAACCACCTTAGAAAAATTCAGTGCGGAATTATTAAATTTTGATGAGAAAGAAAATGAAAAATCACAAAAAGTATGCAAAATTGCCCCAAGATTTGGATTTGAGTTTTCAAGAGAATTTGGACATTGACAGTGCTGCGGATGAGTTAAATTTAGGTTCCGGTTCAGGTTTGGATGAAGACGATATAATTGAGGACGACGAGGAGGACGAGATTGTCATAGCAACAGCTCAGCGTTCTGTTGGTGGCGGCTGTGGAAAGGGTGTACGTATGACCACGTCAGCTAACATTTCCGATCAGCAGAAACAATTTAAGGGGAAGAATTCAACGTCTGGTATTAGTACTTCTGGTTTGGGAAACGATACTTTAATTGAGGTAAGTCCATAAATAAAATGCAACACAATTCTATAGCTATAATAGAGACTATACAATAGATAATATTGATTAAATTTATTAATTTAAATTATTCCATTGTTGCCAACTATTGGCAATCATACGTTTCGGTAAAGTAGACCCTTAATCGCTATACTGTCAAAATTAGATGACATATGCACATGTCCTATGACAAGAAACTTCTTTTCGAATTAGGAGCGTAAAAAAAAGACTCATTTAAAAATAGTTTTTAAATTAATTTTTAAGTTCATATAAAAATATATAATTGATAAAAATCTATTATATCAAGTGAAAAATAACCTGAAGTTCAGTCTTCAATTCCCCTTCTTCTTGTATTAACTACTGGTTCAGGTAGAGAAGTGAGCGTATAGGGAGACTCTTATTTAAGAAAGGTTTTAAAAACTGAGTCACAGTTCATATAAAAATAAATAATTGAAAAAAATCTATTATATCTAATGACAAATAGTTCTTAATTCTTGATTCAACTCACCTTTTTCTTGCATACGCCACTGCTTCAAGTCAAAAATTAGGTGTATAAGAAGGGTTTTCAAAAATTTATTCAAAATTCGTATGAAAATGCTTAAATGATAAAAATTCATTCCTAAAATTTCTCTAAGTTTGTGATTTATCTCATCTCACTATTGTAGACCCCACCTATTAGTTTAATTGTTCGTGTAAAATTATTGATCTGCAAGTCGCAGAAATTAATTGCTGTTGTTGGTACAGTCTCTCTTGGGGAGTGATATTTGGTCGTTGAAATTAACAAACGTCTTGAGGATGTAGACCCGGTCGCTCCTCAAATTAAATCTTGTCGGTGATGATAAAGATTTGGCGGTATTCGCAACAGCTGTAGAATCAGCTCAATAATTCATTTAATTAAAAAACGAATATTTGGACTGAAATTTATTAATTAAATGAAAATAATAAAAACATATACTCAAATCTGAAAATAACCATGGTTTATTGATCTATTGTTAGATAAATATTTACATTATCAACAGAATAACCAAATAAATAACACATTTATATTATTCTTACACAACACAGTTATTGGGTTTCAAGCTTTTTTGGTTTTGTTCCAGAAATCAAATTTACGATAACCATATTATTCATGGATATTTTTAAGAGGTCCTAATGTAAAAACTTTTCCTATTACAATTTTTTGTGAAAAAATAACAAAATGTATAAGAAACTTATAAAAATAAACCGGTTTTTTTATTTGAAACAAATAGTTATATTAGAACCATTTATTTACATTTACATGTTTTGGACATACAGTCAATAAATGATGACATTTCCACAAAATTAAAATCGGAAAGTAGTATCACATAAACAGGTAGATTCAATTTGGTTTCAAAAACTTTATAAAACTTTCACCAAAACGAATTTTAAACTTTCAAACCAGAAAAATAGCTTGGGAGCACAATTCCTATTTCTGGGGCACACCGAACGCAACGCATTTTAGTATATTCGCCTATTCTGAGGCGATTTTTCACTATGCTATGTATCAATATAGCTTAACTCTTCACACAAGATTTCAAGCTGAAAACCAGGAACTACTTGTACTCGTGTACTTGTAGACGCACTATTTGAACCAGAAATAGAAATCTTGCCTGGCTAATCAAAAACAAATGTAGTATCACAGAGCTACTAAACGATGATATCGAGTCTAATTTTGGAGGCTTCATCAACTTATATTATTCAGATTTCGTAAAAAGCAAAGAATCATTAGATCAAATGTATTGACTAGTCTATCTTTGATCTCTACCATCTGTATAATTGATTAATTTCATCCAGTGTTTTTAAATATATCAGACTGTGCGACAAAAGTTGTCTTTTCTATTGTTCGATTTTTCAATTTTTTTAACTTAGTTTGGGTCTGCTGAGCTTAAAATTGCAACCCATTTTACTACCAGGTATGCGGGCCTCTGATAATGAAAGTTAAAAAATTGAGGTCTTAAAGGGTATAAAAAAAATGTGTTTGTTTTTAAATTTATTTTAAATTTTTTCATAACAGATACGAATTTAGTTCTGTCAGTAAACTTGATCAGTAAATAGATCAAAATTTTTGCCTAAAATTTCCTTCCCTTTCTTCCCTTACCAAAAGGATTTTCTTGCAATTAACCTTTAGCAAAAAATAGTAAGAAGTATTTAAAAAATTCTTCTTTTTAAAAGAATAGGAAGGGAATATGGGTAAGGATGTCTAAAGCAAAAATGTTTATGTATTCATTCATAGCAAGTTTACTGGAGAATTGCAATTTGTGTCTCTTAAAATAAAATTTTTTTTTTTATAACCCTTTAAAATCTTATCTTGTAAACTTCATACCGCTATTGTCGGAGGTCCAGATGTCTAAGAGAAAATCAAAGTGGTTATTTGAGTTTAGCAGCCCTAAATGAACTTAACACTATTGAAAAAACGGTTATTAAAAAGTTTTTTAGTTAAAAAGTAATTAATACTCTAGCAATACAGGTAAACTGAAAGTGTTTAAAAATAAAAAATTTTATAACTTCAGTGGAAGGATAGAGGGAGAAGTATAGAACAGTGGGAATTACTGTCCTAGTGAAGAATTTTTAATCAAAACTTTTTTATGATTCATTTCTCATTTTGTTAAGCTTCTGGTTTTTTCATTTTGCAGTAAAAAATAAGAAAGTTGATTTTATGAAATTTAATGGAATTACAATTGACTGACATCACAAATCCTTTGCGAAACATGGTCATTTAATTTTCATGAAATACTTTTGAGAAGACGAAGGAAGGGAAGCTCTGAAGAGTAAATGTTTTTGGTTGCCAGCAAAACCAGGACAATACAAACTAGCTTACGGAGAGCACTTCGTGTCTCATAACTTTATCGATTCTTTTAAGTACATACAGGCATATAATATAGAAGTATATTTGCTTGTTGTGTGCACTTCCTCGTGTGTACGTGGCTACCATCCATTCGTATTTATAATAATTATTTTAGTGCTCAGATAATTTCAATCGATTTTATCGAATGCGCTTTCCGACGACGCAACTTGATAACAGCGAAGCAGATACAAAAATCGTGAAAAAATGTAGAAAGCGCTTATGTACATTATGTGTTTTCTGTTTTGTACATAAAATATAAAACGTGTGTTCAAATTTAAAATATGTGACATATTCCAATTACCCTGGCTTTTGTGTTACGTCCTCTTTACAGTCGTATCTGGATACATATTCATAATGAGGCACTTGCTTGAATGTTGCGTGGCGAATGAGCACACGTAGTTCTTTAGACAGACAACCCTTTGGGTTGCATTTGTTGTAGCTTAAGTTACTTTTGCTGTTATGGATACTTAACGGCACAAGTGACAACACAAGATGACATTGCGAACTTACGAACGCCCTAATGAACCGAAATTAAAATTGGGCTTCTTATTTGAGATTTCCGGTGATGATTTTCTCTACGTCGACGTTTCGTTTACTTTAAGGTAAACTGCGGTAATGGGTGAGGAAATTTGAAATTATATCTATCATAAAAACAACATTTAGTGCTTCTATAAGACATAAAATTTGTCTCTGAAAAGTGATATTGATTTATTTACATGGAATGCATTCGTATGTGATTAAACGCTTTTATATTTAATGCTTTTTTTTATCAGCTTTAGGTACAATTTTAGAGATTCTTTATGATGTTGCTAAACATTAAACAATTTAGATCATTGATCACATGTGCTATATTTTCTTCGTACTCTGATACTCTATTTTGTAAGTTTTAATTTATATCTTCTTATAACATTAAACTTGTGAAGGTCGTCTATGACAATATCACTGCTTATTAGTTGCTTATTGTCTTTACTTTAAAAATACTTTTTATTCATATTATATAGGTAGGCTGCGGAAATAGAACGGTACTTGTCTTTATTTAATCTTAAATAAAATAATTTATTTATATTTTTTCTTTTATTTAATTTTTGTTACAGATTTAGGTGTGAACTAAAAAGTTTTTAGTCTTACATATAGTCGTAACTATGCTTTATGATACTACTTACTTTAGAATACCATCTGAAAATCATAGGCGTTGGTGTGGTCAATTACTTTCTGTATTCACCTCAGTTGGCTCTATCCAATTTATCTGTTCGAAAATAGCATTTGGCAAAGAAAACGGTCAAATAAATGAACCGTTCGGACTTCCTGAAAGTTTCAGACGTAACAACTCTATGACATGGAAACATTATATAAAATAATATACCAGTGAAATATCTACCTTACTGATGTATATTATTGCTAATAGATAGTCTCACTACAAGTCCCTATATTTAAAGTGTTCCATCTATTTTTGAACACACATTATATAGTGGACGCCATCCGCTTGATGCAGACCTAGTTATAAAATTATTCAACTTGTATTAGTGAGGATTTTATGATAAGCAATAAGCGATAGTCAGGGAAATTATGTTCACGCTGGAAGGGTAGCTTAGGTTGAAACGCTTGGAACCCAGGAGTGCGCAATAGTATAAATCGGCACGCATTTAAATACATTTAAGTGTTTTTAATAAGAAAAGTACAAATTTCATTAAATTCATCAATATTTAATAATTCAATATTCAATATCAATATTTCATCAATATTACTTTTAACATTTTCCCGGTCACACTCAAAATTTTTATTTAAGTTAGCAATAGCCGGAGCGGACCAGGCAAGAAGCACTGGGATGCGCTGGGGAAAAATACTAGCATCTTCCAAGCGGATATTTACGTAATTTTAAAATGCGCACTTATCAATATTGTACGGAATTACCAGAGCAAAAATATTACAATGCTGACAGACAACCAAGCGGTGATCAAAGCACTGAACTCGCATCCGGTGACCTCAAGACTGGTGTTAGACTGCCTTGATAAGCTAAATCTGCTTGGCGAATCAAATTAGGTGTCGATTCTTTAGGTATCGGGGCATACGCGGACAAACTAGCCAGAAAAGGAGCAGCCACACTGTTGTGGACTACAAAATAATACGCTCCTTA